ATCAATCGGAATACAGTAAAGAAGAGGGTGAACAGTACAACGATACAGCAAACAAATGAGAGAGTTTGGGTTTTATGAGCAGAAAATGAGGTCATCACCATGAGGTCGTCAGTCCTAAGACTGGTTGGACACGCACCTCCACTCCTTCCTATCCTGAGCTAATCTTCGCATTTCCCTCATGGTTCTAACATTCTACACTCCGATTCGTGAAATATTGCACCTTCCCCTATCACACTTATTGATGACATCCCCCAAGGTAATGTCTGCCCGGATGCCCGGATGTCCGAATGGGGGACTAGTTTACGCCTGGCGTGCTTTACCCCAGAGGACGCCAACATTCGAGTTTTGTGTGTTTTTCTTGGGATATCACAATGTGGTGGTTTCCCAATGCCTTCCACATCGCAGTATTTTGAATACCGATGCTCGTCATCTGTGCCACCCTGAAGGTACTGAAAGAACTGCTGCATTCCTTCAGGAACTTATTTTAGTCTGGCTTCTCTTTAACAACTCTCTCCCCCATTATGGTTCAACCTATGGTCCGGCTCCCTAAATCCGAGCAAGCCGATCCACCCACTCTAGTTTGTGCCAGAACTTCGTCAAGATTCAAGTCCCGTCGGATCGGAAACAATGAGTTGAAAGAAGCTAATTAGACTACTGCCCAGTCACATTACAAATACTAAAAATACATTAATATGAGTCGTTATGATAGCACCATCTGTCAGTGATGAGTTGTAGTAGTTTTATTGCGGACTGTGCCAATTTTGAAAGTCCCAACAATAAACACAATCAATCATACAATTAGTCTTGGAATTGGAAGTGTGCATGTTCTGTCAGTTATGGGGGAGGTCAAGACTGAAAGTACTGAAGCAAGATCAGGAACGTAATTTAATGTGTATGATCAAGACCATAACTATTAGAGACATGATTATGACTGTCATGGTTAAAAACCCCTCCAGATGATGTCACAATTAAGTCTGCCAAAAAACGTTACGTATCATGTCACTCACTGATGATCTTCACTTTTTTTACGTCAACAATTAGAGTTTTCATTAAAGAAATCCAATTTCTTCATCATTTATGTTACCTATACAAGTATGCCTAAAGGGTGTGCTGAATGAAAACAGTACTGCGATGTAAACACATAATCCATGAGAAAACGAGTTAGTGCTTTTATGTAAGTCGAGATTGAACGAAGTGCACATACCATCATAATCGTGCTCTCAGATCGTGCCATAGCCACCTTTGTGCACTTATGTAAATGCGAACAATTACGTCATGCCAAACACAAAGATGAGGTGTGGACCGTTTTGCTTTGTAATTGATGTACGTGAAAGTGGATATGCTGTATAAACAATATCACACTTCTCTTGTTTGAAAAACTTTAAATGTTGAAACAAATGCATGTGACAAAGCCTTAGCTATCTCCACTACCACAAATAATACATAACAAGTGAATCAAGTACATCTTATTGTCTGTTTGATATGTGAATACAGAGAAATCGTTTAAAGTCAATGGTGGTAATAAACATACAGAAGTAGGGGTTTATCTGCAGGATGGGTGCTGAATGGAGAAAACTAAACTATTAAATCGGGAAATTCACTATTGAAATGAATGTGAATACTCCATTACATTCAAGTCCAACGAGGTAAAAATAAGTCAGTTTTGGAATTGAAATGATTCGGTCGATAGCAACCATAAAATTGGGAAAATAATTTACCCACCAAGAGTTTTATTGTTGGAAACTTGTGGCAATGACATTTAAGCGATAAATTTGCTTTCCCTTTACGACCTTTCGTTGGACTACGTAGTTTATCGAAATCCATTATTTACGAGCTGTTTACTCAACAATACGTAAAGTATAAGACAGTTTTATTCACAAGAAAACATTTCCAAAGTGCTTTTAGTAAACATAATTGAAAATTTCACCAAATGATAATCCACCAACTTTGGTCACATTTTGGGATGGTAGACCCTAAATATCCGTGATCACTTTGATCTTTTCCAATAATCATTCAGGAAAATATTAGATAACCCTGTTACATTTACAAATTACAGATTTATGTTGCAAAATTGAAATTGTTCCCAAACGGAAAACTGTGCCCACATTCAGTCATTAGTCCAGAATGGTAGGCTCATGATTCATTTAATTAACAAATTAAAAAAGTAAAATATAATTGTTTTTAGATATAAACTTTTATAATGACAGCCCCGGTAAATCGGGTTCATAGTATTTGTTGTTCCTCTAGAAAACAAACTGATAAAATCAACTGCAAAGAGGTAAGAGAAAGCTTTAAAAATCTCAACTCAGATTATTATTTTCTTGACATGAGCTCACACAGTTGATATACAGATGTGGAAGTATTCAAACCACCAAAGTCAATCTGTTCTCCATAGAAATATGAATGATTCCTACTCGATTCAGAACCATTCTTCCATGGAGACTGAGACTGTGTAATACAGAAGACATGCAGTACTGTTGGAAGATTCATATAGTTAGAACAGCGTTAAGGTAAGACAGAAATTACCTACAATGACATATGTACAAGTGGGAGTATATGCCACCAAAATTAGTCTGTTCTCCATGGAATTATGAATGATTCCTACTCGATTAAGAACCATTCTTCCATGGAGACTGAGACTGTGTAATACAGAAGACATGCAGTACTGTTGGAAGATTCATACAGTTAGAACAGCATTAAGGTAAGACAGAAATTACCTACAATGACATATGTACAAGTGGGAGTATATGCCACCAAAATTAGTCTGTTCTCCATGGAATTATGAATGATTCCTACTCGATTCAGAACCATTCTTCCATGGAGACTGAAACTGTGCAATAAAAAAAGCGTACTATACCAACACAAGACCATGCAGTTAGAAAAGGATTGAGACAACACGTAAAATGTCATGGTAAGGATAATTTGATTAATCCAAATTTTCATGAGGAACATACAATACTTGAAATACCTTGACTTTTGTAATTGAGAAAGGTTGTGTTATGCTGTAAAATTAAAATTGTTTCCAATATGAAAACGATTGTCTACATTCTGATATTAGTTTCAGAATAATAGACTCATGATATCATCCATTCTTTTGATAAAGAAATGAATGAAATTGTTTCCAAATAGCAAAAACAAATTAATGGGGTCAATTAGAAACGAATAAAAAGTCATAAAGGTCATTTCTTCTTATTGCATATGGAATAAGACTGGCTTTATCATGCAAGCCAGTCTGTTCTCCATGGATTTGTGAGTGATTCTTAGGTTCAGGAGCATTCTTCCATGAAGTCTGAGACTGAATACAGAGGAAGAAGTAAGATCATTAATCCAGTGTTGCATATGAGAAAGATAAAACAACTATAACACTTCAGTATTCTGACAAACTCAAATTAAATATTCTTTTGGTTTCAACAATCCCCTTCTTTAGAGTTTGTCAAAATTGCATTATTTCTATATTGATCGTTGAGTGTTTCTTTTAACCAGTACCTAAAGCAATTTTTGCTTGTAACTTACGAAAACTAAAGGACCTTATAATGAGCCTTGTGGAACTCCTAAATACATTTCAGTAAGTACTTTCGATGACAATTCAAGCACATATTGTTCTTCGCGAACGAGTACCCGTATCAAAAAGTGTCTGACCTTTAAGTTGATTGTCGTTACACAATTCATAAAAACGAACAGATCAATGAGGTTCAGTTCGTCTGCAATTAAAGCTCAATTGAAAACGCAATCAATTATTGTTATTATCATCATGGGTGCATCAAAGCAGCATTTCATTATAATCACACTCTAAGAACGCATTTACATGTATAAACATACACGTTTCGCAATTGAACCGAATCACCTTGAACTGGAAATCCCTTTTATTTGCTAAGAATGCGTCACCATTAAAGCAACGACGTTTTCATTAAGTACGTTTTCTAATCATTTAGTTATACAGTTGTTGCTGTATTTTTTGTACTTATGTGTATGTTTTATGGAATATATGCATAATAATAATGTATACGTACGTAGTACCTTTAGCAAAAGAACACCTTAACAGTACAAGTACTTGTGATTTGTAAAGNGCGTGCTGATGAGATTTAATGAGATCGAAATAGAAGCTTAATAAATCGTAATGATGAATCACAACTTATAGTTAGGTTCACGATATTACAAGAGAGAATGCTAAGAATTTGTCACCATTAAAGCAACGACGTTTTCATTAAGTACGTTTTCTAATCATTTAGTTATACAGTTGTTGCTGTATTTTTTGTACTTATGTGTATGTTTTATGGAATATATGCATAATAATAATGTATACGTACGTAGTACCTTTAGCAAAAGAACACCTTAACAGTACAAGTACTTGTGATTTGTAAAGAAACAAAGCCATGCGTTCCTTCCAATCATTATAACGTGCTTGATTTGCATCAGCTGACTATACACACATACCTGTGATGACCTTGGGCTCCATATTTATATCTGTACTTTTTTGCAGTATTGTCCTTTGTTATTAGCATTCATTTGTTTGTAGCGTTTTTCCGCGATACAAAGTATAATGTTTTAAAATGTAAGGAAATCAATTAATAATTCCACCATTTGAAAACCTAAAAAATACTGACGAATATTTGAATAATAATGCCTCCTATTATTTTTATCATTTCGAAAAAGACTTCATTGTTTAATTTTGTAAAAACCACCGAAAATGCTTCTGAACGTTCCCTGACGTTATGACGTCATAACATATGGCGGTTACTGAAGTGATTCAAATGAACTACTGCAAGGAGTAACAATGGAATTCGCCATTTTTGTATGATATTCAGATTGCATTATGGTACATTTGTTTTCGATATCCGAAACAGGTATTAAATTGACAACTGGTTTTAAATATTTATAAAAATTTGCATTTTCTTGAAATTATAATAGGTTATTCACCGTATTCTATTTTATGACAGTATTTATAGACAAATAAATGTTAATGTAAGAGGCATTATTCCTGTTTTACGTCATCTGCATAATTTCAAGTCAGAAATAAACATTACTCAACAAGTCATCTAGTTATCATTAAACCCTAACCATATCACCGATCTAATATCAATTTCTTCTATAAAACCGCCATCTTTGAAAATTTAATGTTGGCGTAAGTATTACCATAAATTAACAAATATAATTTTAAGAAAATTTTTCTTTTATGCCCAAGACAATGTGAATATACAGATGCAATTTTATTGTGATGCCCAAAATTCTTGAGGACGAAAACCAATGTAATTTTAATATTTTTGAAGATATCGATATTGAACCTCATTCAGAATTGCTGTCTGTCTTCCAACTTGATTATGAATGGCATTTTAACAGTACAAATATCTTCAATTGAATTCGTGACTTGTCAAATTTGATTTTTTTTAAGACGCCAGCTGATGCTTCAATTTTTTTGCACTAAAACGTGCAATATCATGGCGTGCGGGTGGCCTCGCAGAGAAAGTTCTGCGACAAATATTGGATTTAAATGCTTTTTAAGGCCGCGTATAAACCGATGGAAGTTTCTGTGTGTCATTTGTTGTGCAAACTGGCCGAATTATCGCTTATGTAATTCTACGTACCATCGATGGTAGTTGCAAAATTCTGTATGGCGTGAAAAATTCGATTTTGGCGCTAGTAAATGACAAGCGACACCTTACGTCAAATATTCGTCAAAGATATGGGTGCGTTCTATTAAACTGAATGCTTATAAGTACAAATGAATGCTACTAGTATACGGTTGTTAAAGTGGAAAAGAAATTTACAATTTCCAACTACAGCAAATTTTAGATCAGCAAAGCTTTCAGTTCTCTTCGCTGGATTATTTTATTGGCTCTCTGACTTTATAAATAGGGATATCAGGAGCTTCTCACGGTTAAAAGTTCCTCAAAAGTCGTTAAAATATTTATTTCAAAAATAAAGAACTTTTTAGATTCCGAATAGGAGTTTATTAGTTCTTTAAACTTTCAAAGTTCAGTAAAACTTGCGGCGGGATTAACTTAATAAATTCCATGCGACCATCTTCTGATACTGCGACGTGCACTAACTAACTGACCAAAGAGACTTTTCGACCATAAATTTAAATTGAATCCTATTGTCCAGTAGAGTGGTCGACATGATTGTTGAATTAAGTTCAATTAAACCGTTTATTCGATCCCGGATAAATTATTAGGATGAACGACTAAATCTCGTACGTTTTTATATCGAAAAATCCTCTCAATCCCTTTATGAAAACCGCACAATATAAAATTGGATAATGGATCGAGTGGATGTCACTGTTAATTTGTTTTGAATCCGTAACAATGAACCGAGATTACGATTACAGCTAAAATGTGCTTACGTGATTACCGAGTTTATCTAAACTCAAATTATTAATCATTTTCAATCCATGATATAGAATAAGTTTCAGTCAATAAAACTGGGTTCCTCATGATCCACCATTACTATTTTAAAAAATCCATTGGATCTTCTATATTCCATCGCTTACCTGAAACAAAAGAAAGCTCATCTTAGAACATTATTCGTTAATTGTTAATATGGAGAAACACGAACACAGAACCCTTTATCGCATAATACAAATGCGCAATACTTTTACAAATAAATATATTATGTACACCTAAATATATGAGGATGATGATCAACTTGCTGTAGATGCCAACTCTTGTAACTGACCGTTTCACACAAATACGTATTAAAATATATAAATAGTACCTAATAACAGGTGCCCAAACCAAAATGTCACAACCTGTCAAAATCATTGGTTGAACAGTAATAGAGAAAACTAGGTAGAAACTACATTAGTTTAGGATATTTTATTATGTAATTTCCTAAAGAAAGAAATGCTGGTTAAGATTCGAAATACATTCGTTTGCATTATATGAAAAGAAGTATTGCGTATCACATATCGGCATGCCTGAATGAAGCCCCTGGCGTGCTGATGAGATTTAATGAGATCGAAATAGAAGCTTAATAAATCGTAATGATGAATCACAACTTATAGTTAGGTTCACGATATTACAAGAGAAAATTTTTCATTTTAATTGTTCTCATAATAAATAAAAATAAAATGTTGGGCAATTATTTAACGCGATACATCGAAATATTAATTCAATCATCGGCAGCCATTATTATTTTTGAAAGATAATCTGTCACTTTGGCTATGTTAAATTTCGTAAACATCGAAAATATAATATCTCCTTTCCCCCGAAGGCGAGCCTGCAGGATGAAATTGCAAAGAGCGAGCTTCAAGGAGGTTCATCAATCAATATGACGCCTTCCATTACATTTACAACCAGTCTTACAACAGCATGTAGACAATTTCTCAAAACGTCCTCTGAACGCAGATAAAATCTATTTAGTTCCTAATTTACAGTAATCTGTTTAACAAAAAAATAGTCATTTATGTTCCTGACAGAAGTACAACTTAATTTTAATGATGTATTTTTAAAGCTTGCATTTTACTTGGCACTATTTTATTATACAATATGTAATAAATCTACTGACTAATTAACCAATGATTGTGTAGTATTTTTATGCAATTATTTAGTTTGATTTATATGAAAAAAATGTTTGTATACTTAAATAGATTAGCCATTTAATTTGCTGCCTATTTTTAACACATACAGGAACATAAGATATTAGAACTAGCTACATCAGGCGATAGGGCGCCACCTGTCGCTTCGCATAAACCGTTTTATTAACCTTACTACCTTAGAACCGATTTCGAAGGTCAAGTGCCATATTAGTTTGTCAAATATTATTGTAAATGTTATACAATCACATGTTTCTTAACGTCAACGGCATCAAGAACTGTTTAATATCGAGTTTTAACAAAGAAGTAACGAAAACAGGCCCATGTGGTGTAACAATGCATGTACAAAGTTAATTTTGTTATTTCTGTACAAGGCAAACTGGATATTAGGTATCTGTATTCCAGCTCTTGAGACCAATAAGCTCATTAGCGGTCGATAGTCGAATTCCTTGTTTCAAAATAAAGTCATTCATATGCAAAAATATGCAAGAAGATATAACGAAAAATTGGATGAACACATATCGTATGTAGACGTACTTACATAAGTACAATTTATTTTCGATTAACAAGGTAACAACATTAATTTGTAAGAAGGTAATAAATAATTGCGTGGTCGGTACATAAAATTAAAAAAAAAAAATGTGTTCCGCGTTATATAAAAAAAGAATAAATAAATTATTTCCTGCAACACACCTACTACAAAACGGTATCTTATTTACGATCGCAATCTTATTTTAACAGCCAATCCTAGCGTAGATTATACGAATCACTGCCAACAATAGAACATACGACTATTTCTGACAAAATCTTGTTGAAAACAATCACCATATTGTGGAAGTAAGGTAGTAAAGTTCAAATTACCGCCAAAACTGAATGCTCGCCGCCATTATTACGTCAGACGCACAAAAGTTTGATGCAAATGAACTAAAATAAATAGAATCTCATACTAGAAGTGATAATACCTATTTATAGAGTGAAAATTGGAAATAGACTTTGCTATCTGTACAAATTTTATGATAATCTGACAATAGCATCACATTTATTTAAATCTCATTCTCTGACGTAGCGTCTTGTCAAAATTGTTATTGGTGGCCTGCGCGCAATGCATCTATATTCGTATGACACTACTGCCTTCATGTTTTAGTGCATTTGAACTACTCAAACTTACGCGAAAATCATTCACTTTCTCATTTATTCCATATTGTTATCACTAAATGCTGATTCGACCGTCAATTAGATTGGAAAATTGAAACTTCAACCAGCCGGTAAAATTTATATCCTCAAAATTTTACATTGAAATAAATTTTCACGTAGTTATTTAAATTTCAATATACACCCGTTAGAATTGAGTGAAATGGATTTGTATTCCGAGACGCTTTTGGAATAATGATTGATGTTTTGCGCATTTGTACCTATTTTGCTTGTCAAACGGAGCAAAATATTTTCAGTTCTTCCTTGTCAGCTGTGTATACGGATAACAATGCATAATTTAACGAGCCTACGAACAAATTCTTCAGGCTCATGTCAGTTAGAATGTATGAAAACTAGAGTCAAGGTTAACTTAACATGCCCTGAAGTAGAAATGGTTATTTTCGGTCATGTGGAAAACGGTGGAAACAGAAAACATCACCTCATTCTTAACAAACACCATCAAACATAAAGAAATAATTCCGAAAACGATGTCACTGGTACAAAAGAAAAAGTTTACCCGTGTACTTTTATCCAATATTACTGGACAAATATTTATCTGAAATGCTGAAACCTTAACCCATAAATGAAATTTCTTTTAACCTTAGCACACTAGTAAATATAGTAGCTGGCAATAAATCATACAGTTTTTGTTATTACGCCTGGTTAAGTTTCTTATAATAACCATAAAAGACGTAACTATCAATTGCTGAAATTATAAGTCCATTAAAAACATGTACCTGCCTATAAAATCCTTGCAACACCATACTGGCACGTAGGTGGCGTGGTATATTAGTATCGCTGACATTGGGAATGAAAAAAGGATACAAACGGAGTTGAATCGCAACTGACCTTTTGGAATGTTAAGCGGAGCTTTTATTTCTTTTTGAGATCTTGAACAATTAATTGTCTAAATACATTATTTACGGTTGTTTTATAAATTTCTCCTTAGTCTTATTTTTCTAACTATAAGTTCGACTCAAGTTTTTACTCATAATGGTACTGACGGTTACCATGATGGCGGAAGGACAATTAATAAAAAGTAAAAAGGAGCAGAATCTAGCAAACGTAAATATGATTCTTATTGTTATCAGATGTTGCTATTACAATGTTAGAGCCATGAAGAATAGAGTACAGGAGGCTGAACGTGTCATTTGTTAAGCTTTAGTTCACTAATCCCGTAAATTTTTGGAGATTGTGGGTGGCGCCAGCGTCAGTATGTTCTCTTCAAGCAGTAGCTGTAGCCAATAACAAAAAAAATCCCACCTTGATCTTATACAATCAGGCATTGATATTGAGGCGATAGCAGTGCATTACTATTTTCTACAAATGTTTGGGACTCTACTTTCAAGATCGTTCATTCTCCTGTACCTTAATCTCCACGATTTGAGCAATAACAAAGACGATAAGTTAGGTTACGAATACTCAACTTCAAAAGATGGATGAAGTTTATCGCACATCTAAAGAAAGAAATTGATGAAGAAAAGTTCTTATCATAGTTTAATTAATTAACGAATTAATAATAAGGATTCACAATTTCTTTCTAATAGACAGTTTTCAGTGAAATTTAACGAAATTCAGTCATTCCAAAATAAAATAAATTGTAGCACATCCTACCTACACTAATTGTTACTTTTATTTTCTTTAATTGAAGAATTACCGATTCCAATAACTAAAATATCACGTTAGTCCATTGAATTTGATGGACAAATAAAATGTAAAAAACCCGATAGGTAAAGCTTGCATTAGTTTGCTTGTTACATAAACCGTGGAAATCAAAGCAAGCCATACCAGCTTTTTTGTTTGAAATTCGTTCTATAAAAGTGCAAATTTAAACGCTTAAAAGTAAAAACTGGCACAATGTCATAGTTGTTTTATTTATAGAATAAAAAACAGAAGAAATAAATCCGTTAGTTTATTCTTTGTACAGCAATAATAATTGTTTTCTCCACATTTTTTTAGTTTTTATGTAATAAATCGTTTCAAACAAAACAAAGTCGTTAGTTGTGACACTTTAAGACTCTTGACTTAAACGAATAATTTAATTAGCCACTTAATTAGGGCATTAGGACAATTAAGTCCGTATTGTTTGCGCAACAAACTGGCGCTTTTTAACTGTTAATTTAATTAACTAGTTTATAAGACACATGTACCTACAACAACACTTATCGTTAAAGAAAAGAAAACGGAATCTAAATCAAAATAAAACCTTCAATCAATAGAACTAATGAGGACAGTAAATACGATGCAGATGAATAGAAATTTAGCTCTAAACAATATGAAAATAAGTAGTCTGTCTTAAAACAGTTTCATAATTTGAAGAATTCAAATTATATTAGCAAACACATAGTAAATTACTGATAAAAAAATCACTGTTGGTGTTTGTGTAATAAGGACATTTATCAAAGTGTATCAGGTGTGGGAATGACAGCCGACATGCCCATGTAAGCATGCACTAGTACGTTACACTTGACATAATTATTAGGTAATATCTGTACAGTGATCTATTCCCTTCTAGTGATGTCAAAAACATTTCTCACCGAACTATAATTCGCAAGTGTAAATATTGGTTCACGCAAAAATTGAAATATAAACAAAGACAATGGGAAAAGGTGACTGTTAAATCATTAAAAGTATTTGAGATTGGTCAACAAACAGTTGAAATAAAACATTGTACATCATAAAAACCCAAGATCATCGTGTCATCTAATCATCATAATTTGATAAAGTCTAATAAGAAAGGAACCACAACAGAAATATTTTTCAAA